CCAAACGTCTCCCTCCACCCCACACAAAGGCGCCAGCTGTGCTTTGCGAGGTTATATTTTGGGACTGTTGTCCTCGTTGCAGGAGGCGCGGCGCTGCTGGTCAATGAGTCATCGGTGACATTGAAAAGTTCTGCCGTGAGAGAGGCAACAAGTTATTAATAATAAATACGGACAAACTTGATGCTGCCGGTAGGTTTTGAGAAGTGACGTGTTTTAAATCTATTATTATTGATCACAAATCGTAGTCATCTGCTAATCATACAAGACAGCTAGGGATGAACTGATATGGTTCAAGTGGGCAGCTGCGTCAGCAGACAAAAATATCAATTAACGGAACGAGGAAAGGTTTATTTCCAGGCTGAAAAGAGAAGAAAAGAAACACAACGTTTCGGTTGTGGAGCCTTCTTCGAAACGTTGTGTTTCTTCTGTTTTCAGCCTGGAATAAACCTTTACTCGTTCCGTTAATAATTGATATTTTTGTCTTGTTTTTTTTTTCAACTTTCCGTGAGTAATGCGTACAAATTCAGATTATGTGATAGCTCATCGTATATAGATATATTTTAATTCGCAGCTGTTAGAATTGTTAGATAGTTTAATTCCTTATTCAAGGAGCAATGACGTCAAGTACCCCCGCGCGTGGGGGACGTGCTGGACGCCGTGTTCTCGCGAGGCGCACGAGGGGTCAAAGGGCGTGTTACCCGCCTGACTTTTTTTTTGAGTAAAAAAAAAACACGCAAATGACCATCATTAGGGAACAAAATAAAGTCAAATTCCCTGAGTAACGTGGCAAAACACTACTTTGGACATTAATGTGACTGACATGAGGATATGTTGGGGGCCGAGGTGTCGATTTCGGAAGCACACTCGATCGTTTTTCGGTGGGCTGGTGAGGATTTTGGACGATGCGTTTTTTAAACTTTACAGTGGAAATGCCATAGTACTTATACTCCCATCGAAAACACGAAAAAAGAAGGTAAAAAAAGCACCACGGACACATGTAAACCCCCACTTGACGTGTTTAGGTTTGTAATTGTCTGCGGCTTCGTATTTGTTCCTTGTCTCGTTTTTGTTCGCTTTTCTGTTCTAGAAATGGTTTCTCCTTTCTCTACCGCTGCTCAATAAAACTTGTGGAGGGAAAAATCACGTTTGAATGGCGGAATCACAACGTGATGTGATTGAATTCGGTTATCAGGGTGCTTATAATGCACGTTTCCTCTGGCAATTCTGGTTTAAAAGATTATGCGGGCGGGGAATTTTCAGTCTACATAAAATACGTCATTACAGCATCGATATTTTGGGTATGTAATGCGTACGTTGCAGTATATTTCTTTTGAGGGCCAAGTAATAGGTTAATTCCACGCTGCAAAAAAAAAATAAGAAAACACAACGTTTCGGCCGTATATTTCTTTTGTCTACCCCGAACTTTATCGCACAAAACACATTTCGCATGAGGTACGCGGTCTCAGAAATGATCAGACTGTCAAAGTTTTTTTTTAAAAAAGCTTTCCAAATGAGGTGATTGTTCATTATCGATCAGCAGCCCAGTGTATGACGGGGCAGGATTTGCACAATGAAAGAGCCCTTCCACGTTGCAGTATAGACACACTTTTTAAGTTTCTCTATTGAGCTACTGCAGCGGGTGGAAAAGTTGCTGTTCTAATCGCCTCCCCCCGCTGGCCTTTAGGATGGCAACGCGACGCGTGATTGGCTGAGGCTGGACCCCAACCCCTCCCCTTTTTCTAGCTGGTTCGAACTGGTTCAGACAGCTCGAGGAAGTCGGTCACCTCTCCCCCCCCCTCGTTCCCAACGGTCACCGTCTCTTTTCTTTGTATTACTCCGCGTAGTCTCCCCCCCTCGGTGATTCCAGTTAATTCCAGTTTTTTTTTATTTTTCTTTTGTTAAAAAAAACAAAAGCCTGAATAGATAAGAAATAGAGTAGAACTGCGAAATGGGGTTTCTGAGTGATATCATACTTTTTCTTTGATTGCTTTGTGTAAAGATATTGAGGTGTAAGAGTTTCCGTATGTTGTTATTAAAAAAAAAACAGCATTTTCTTCCTCCGCCGACCGAATAACGAAATATTCACCATTGTCTTCAAGTATACTATAAAATATGAAACTAGTGATGTATCTTATTATTTACCATTGACGTATTTATAGTACATAACAGGACAAAGAAATCTCTTGTCTAAACTCGAGAATTTTTGTGTTGTTTTCGCCACATTTTTCACCCCGGTTAATTTTTTTTAAACTGCGGAAACTGGCTTTTGGACACACTGGGACACATGAAAACCCGTTTAAAATGATCACATTCACAACACAGAACATTCAAAACGGTCGTTTAACCTTTTAAAAACGGATTTAGCACAAATGAGGACCCACATAACGCTGAATACCCCTCTTCTTCCAACCGTTTTGAACGATTTTTCAATCTTCTTATTATATTATTATTATATATCTTATTATTATATTCTCATTCTTTTGTGTGAAGAAATCTATTGTTAAAATTGGTAACGTTTATCAAACGCAGTCATTTGTGTGCGTGTGGTGGGGGGGGGGGCACTAATTACTCTCCCGCCCTCTGCGGTTGCGGAAGGATATTGGAAGGTAGTGGTGCGACGCAGCCCATGTCTATAAATACGCGTGCGCCCGCAGCCCTCGCTCAGATTGCCGGGCGATGGGAGGCAGCGGCGGAGAGAGTCCAAGGAGCGGAGGAGGCAGCAGGAAGGCGAGCAGCCCGATCATCCCGATCACCCCGATCACGTGACTCCGGGATGCGCGCGCTTCGGGCGCGTCAGGTTTGTTGGTCTCGAGCAGGCGGTGTAGGTCAGGTGAAATGGCGGATCAAAAATGACGACAGACGCAGCAGGGTAAAAACAAACAAAAAAATTGACAATGGGTGAGGTTATTTCCTCTTCTTTTTCAGGATATTTGTAATATAAGTGTTGGAAGTTCAGGAGACCGGGGCGAGGGCTGGGGATATCTCTAGGGGAGGAACAGCCTCAAACAAAGTGTTTAGCGGGGAAGGAGTTAAAATCTCGCTTTTGCCATTTAAGATGTGACCGGTCTTTAATCGCTGGAGAGAAGCCGAATCAGATTTTCTGCCAGTAGCACGTCTAAAGCTTTCTATGCTGGTGAAAAGGCAGGGCGGTGGCCGTTTTCAAGTGGAAGAGCTGTGGGTGTCTTATTTTACAGGTTGTAAAAGCCTTGGGAAAAGAGTTACAAAAGATGACTGAAAAGCCAATGTCTCCGTGAGTGAGTTGTGGAGGGGGGGAGGCATCGTCCTCCTCATCGGGGTTTTGTTTTGATAACATCCAGAAGTTCTCAAGGTATCAGAAAGACGAATTTGAGGTAACTATCGCTGTGGGCTTGCTCGATGCTTTGCAAGTAAGAAAGCAGGGGGAAACGGCATTTTAATTCAGTAAAACAGTGATTTAAGGCTGGTGATGTGCGGAGGAAATTCGCTATGTGTGTGGGGAGGGGGGGTTACTGATCTATATCAGCTATTTCTTTCAAGGATATTGTGATTGCTCTCCAAACCCGAGATACTTGATGAGAGGAATTTCCCCAAAGTATGGTAAAAATGTCTCTCCTAAGCATGCAAATCCAGACATCGACTGTGACGAAAGTATATTGAGCAATTCAGTGACATGCTCTTGTTTAAAGCTTGTGAATGTGCTCTTGTCTTTGTGGGGTTGTCCTGGATCTGTGGTGTGGGGGCTGGGGGGGGGAGATTTACACAACACTATCTTAGCCTTTTCACAGATCAGAGCCGCTCTGCTGTACAGGGCATGGAAATTTCCAGACAGGGGCTGAGCATGCTCAGTTCGCAACAGGGGGCGTGGCCTCCCTTGGCCCCTGGTGTTGATTGACAAGAGGGGAGGAGGAGCCACTGTGTGCTGGGAGGAGACAGAGGGGGCGCGTCCAGCCCTTGGGCATGACCACCTGGAGGTGCCCCTCTGAGGGGCGCAGTTGATCGCAGGGCCTTGGTTGTAACCGACCAAGCCTTGCGGGTTTGGCATGAAGCAGGTCGGCCGGTTCCGGTTCTGGCCTCAGGAGTCCTGGAGTTGATCCTTTTCGGCCATTTGGGGCATCTGTAGTGGCTACAGCAACAGCATCATCAGTGTCCTGCAGTTTAAAGCGATCTGATAACCCAGTCAAGTGGTGGTGTGACCTCAGGGAGGACTTGGTCACTCGGCTTGGGCCCTGCATGGTGACTGTTTTAATGAGAGCCAGGATTACCATGGAAACGAGAGAGGATGCATCTACTTGAGACGCCATGCGAATGTGGCTTGATTTAATGGAGAGCCTTTTAGCCCAAACCCTTTCGAAAAGGGGCCTTTTCATGGTTCGGTTGTGCAGCTGTTATCCGAGATTCCACAAGCCTGTCAGCCCCCCGATGGAAGCTAACCTGAGGAAATTGCCTTCTCTTTTTACTGTTAACTTTTAAAGGGTCCCTTGATTGGACTCGACATGCTTTGTGATAATGAAATTGGGCTGGTGGATAATGTTTGGTGGCCCTGTTGCGATTCATAAGCCATGCACGTTAGTTTGACTTAAGAGACTTGAACTGGCTTACTTCATAGTTGTAATTGTTCTGTACCCCTATGATTGACCATCTGTAAAACTGTAGATGCTCTCATCAGGTTGCTGTTTGACCAGGTGGGAGTTTTATTTATACTGTTTGGCCACTGGATGGCAGTCATGCAACATTCTTTTGCAGATAGTAATGTAAACAAAGAACTTTGTTAAATAATTTAACCTAATCAAATTCTGTGTATTTACCATTGTATGAAGGAGTAATTCAGGATGCTTTTGTACAATAAGGTATTGATGCCTCTTATCTACTAAACAGCTGTGGTTTAACAAAAGCTGTTTTTTACCTCTGAGCTGCAACTTTATCCAGCCATCAGGATATTCCTTAGTTTAATTACACTTAGACTGTATTCTGGCTTTATAAAATGATCTTGCTTTTTATTGCACTTTACTCGGAGAAAAGCTTTTCCATGCTATTTAGTTTTTTAAAATTTCTTCGGATCCTGTTAACTTTTAATATAGCTGGATTTGACTTGAATGTGTATTCATATTTTTCCCCAAGATCCCCCTTCTGTGATGTGCACTCTAGGAGCATTTTCCTCCTGAGCTGGATATGATCAAGCTTCACTCTTAAGTCCATGTGATTTAGATGGGTTGTTGAACCTGTGTATTATTACTAGTCTTGGCTGATACAACCTTGCCAGTGTCTGGAAAGATCTGCCCCACTGACCAGTAGTCCTGGAGTAATGTTAACTTCAGTGTATCCTGAATCCTAGATTTGTGAAAGGAGTACTCGCAGCTCCTCATCAGGTGTGACACCTAGCAATCATGATACTTGTGTATTTAACCCATTTTTTCCTTTCAGGGATGTAAACAAAATAAGTTAAAATATTAAAGATTAAATTAAGTTTGTGGTGTAGAATGTCATTATTTTGGGAGGAGCGGGAAATCTTAATTCCTAGGTCCCTCTCGGTGAGCCATGGATTGGAGTCTTTATTTTTCCCCAAGGAAAAGGCTGCAGTAGATGTCAAGTTTAGGTAAAGTATTTTTCATAAAACGATTTAAGATGGGTAATTGAAGGTATAAAGGTTAAGATGGTAAGCATGTACAAGATGTATTCTGTGAGCAAGTGCTGAATTGTAGTGCCAAGGTGTGATGTTGAATTGTATCAATGTATACAAACCTATTCCTCTAAGCTTTTTTTTTTTTAAAAAAATCTGATTTAATGACACTAGATAGCCAAAAGCTGTTGCAAAGCCTTGGAATACAGACTGACTTGAAGACTCCAGAAATCAAGATCAATATCCTGTGAACCCTTGGGTTTTAAAATGCTTCTGAAGTTGGATCTAACCAATTAGTAACAAGTGCTCCCCAGACCATAGGGAATCCATTGGTATAGTTCTGTCTGATGTCTATAGTGAGACTGTGCTGCAACTAACCCGCTCAATGACTCGGATGTGTATGTTTCTTGCCCTGTAGTGACATTCAACGATTGCATTGGGTGCTCAAGAGCACATGCTGTTTATTTTAAAAGCTCATTGTAGGGATGGTTCTGTAACCCTACGTAACGGGTAGAGTTGGAGAGTCTTCAACCTGAAGCAGTTCTAGCTCCTGATGGTCGGGAGGATAAGATCTGCATGATGGTGGATATAAATGTCCCACTGTAAGAGAACACAGACTAAAAGAGAAATTTGATTTTTCACTTCCCAGCTGTAACCAGCAGGTGGGGTTAAAGGTCACTTATTAAAACCCTGTAATGAGCTTTCAGACCTAGCATGAGTCTTCCATTAGTTTACTATAACCTAGCCTTTGGTTGAGTGCAGGAGGTCTAGGAAAGGCTGATCTTAATCACTATAGGATAATTGGACTGTGGATCATAAACTCTGAAAATTGTTTTAATTGAAGGTTACAGTTTAGATCACTTGTATCTTACTGGACAGTAAGAAATGTCCCTCGAGCAGTTGGCCAAGTGACCGCAATCTTGTTATAATGTATCATTTATGCTGGAAAAAGAAGTACCCGATGGAGTATACCAGTTAATTGAAAACTTTTCCCATTTAAGAGCACCACACTGGAAAATTAGGCCATGACTGCCCTTTATTTCCACAGTCATGTGAAAAACTGGAATTGTTAATGTAGACTAGGAATATAGTACTGGGCAAAAAGTTTTATTGGTTTGATGGTTTTTCTGTGAACTACTGGTCCCTTTACCTTTGAGGTATAAACTAACATTACTAGGAAGGGTGAAAATCTCTGGTTAAAGGAAGATCAAAATGTTTTTATGTGAAAGGAACACTTAGTGTTACAGATTGCCCTTGAAATTTTCTTTCCAGGTACAGATAACGCAGATATGAGAGTTATCAAAATATTGATACTTAAATTGGTAACCAAATGTATTCAATTTTGAATGTCCTTGAAAACTGTGTGGTTCATCAGGCTTTGATGTATGTGGTTCTGTGGGTGTTACTAATAGACATTACCTCAGTATTTTTAGGATGATTTTGGAATAGATGGGATTTGCTTATTTTAAAAATAGTTACAAATCTTGATCCTGGGTTGTGAGCTCTTATAATATTAATTGGTCATTAATGCAAACAAGTAAAAACGGGTATTTCACAGGCTTTAATTTTAATTGGTCCAATTAGTCACTGCATATGGCAGTAGACTTGTTCTGAATTTTAACCACGGTAGGGATCCTTTGCATTAAATGTTTAAGCTAGACAACAGTTAATATTTAAAGCTTTAGACTGTTTTAATTGGCTTCAAGCATTTACAAATTTTTACAGGTAATGTCAAATTTTGCAAACATCATTCCTTTCTTCCGACTAACCGATTTACAATCTGAAGGTTTTCTGATTAATCAGTTACATGCAGATTAAATTTAGGCTTTGTACATTCAGTGATTTACGTTTAGAGCTCCAGCCATTAGTGGAAATGTTTCACTGATCTCCAATTGGCTTATCTCTTAACAGTGGCATCCTTATAAGTAAATTGACATGCTTTTGATGCAACTGATCGAGTCTCAAGTTGTTGCAATTAGCTTTCAGAATACACTGAATGTTATGTTCAGTTCTCAACTATTTAAGCATTCACTAGAGCTTTGAGCTTGGATGAAATACTGCTGGATAATGTGGGAGCAGGCTTCCTGCCATTTAAATTAATTAAAATAACATTTTAAATAGCTGTGAAGAAAACGGATGTCTGACGGGCAACTTTTCGTCACAAAGGTAAGATCCTTAGTGTTCTGAAGTCTTCTTGGAAAGGAAAATGCATCCTGCTTCAGAATAGCCATTGAGGGTTTTCCTGCAATAGTTCAGTGCTCTTCAGTCTGGGAGAAGTTGATGTCCATGAAGGTATCTGAGCATTTAAAATCAACTGGTTTCCTGCTTTTTTTATGGAGTTCTGAATTACGTGACAAATGGGAAGGATGAAAATGGTTTTAAAATGTCTTCAATTCTTTCATGATAAATGGGTATATGAACGTAAAATAATTCCCAACTTAAATGGTTTATCAATTGTTTAGATCAGGGGTAGCTATAGTTAACCCTTGTCGGATGTTATGTGCTTGGTTACATAGACAGTCTCTGAATCCCTCTCTTTTGAGACTAGTAGTTTAATGTTGGGAGTCCCTCTGCTCTCCTGAGTCTGGACTCCATGTTTCCAGCTCTCTGTGGATAATCCCTGGCTCTGTTGGGAAGAGATGAAGTCTTAGCCCTTCAGTGTTATACATAATAAAGCGATTAAGTTTAAAATTAACATTCCCTGTTGTAGTCGAGTGACATTTTTCTGACCAGAAGCTGGCTGACCGGCTTTTATCTGCAGCTTTGAAATTTGAGTCGCAGCAGTGATGTGATATCTAATGCTTTGTAACTGTTAATAGAACATATCTTGATTTATTATTCACTTAGGAAAAATTGGACGCCTAGAAGGTAAACCTTAAGTCTTGCATTTATAGATCTGTATATTTTGTGCAGTGTATTGCAATCTTGATTGCTTCATGTAGTTTTCAGGTATCCATTAGGTCTTTATAAGTCCAAATTTATAATTGAGGTTGTTACAGAATGCAGCACTTCAAAGCTGGGGTGTCTTTAATACTGCCCCTACTTAGGGCAGAAAGATTGAGTCTTCACAGGGTTTCATGTTCACCATCAATGAGCTTTTTATCAACAAAATTCTGTTTTGACAGTTGAAAATTAATTTCAGATTTGACGTTAATGTCTCGTAGTTAAAAGCTCATATGTCTCCTTCAATTTGCTTACCTTCCTGTAAGTCATTTTGGTTTTTGGTTCAGTGTGCAATCGACAGGCGTCTTTATCGGTAGGTGAATTGGGAGAAATTCTTAAGTGTTTAGTATGGCTTTGGTTTAAGGTTTGATAAAGAATCTGGTTTATTCCTAAGAAAAGTGTTACTACATGTGACTTCCCTTCTCTGGCTAAATCATTCTTTAAAACTGGATTCAAAATTAACAATAGATGTCAAACAGGTAAAATTTCTTCAAGTGGCTTAAAAATTGAGGTTTAGAAAATTTAAAATAGTGTAGCTCACTACTCTAAAAAAACTCAATCCCTTTGGGATAATCTTCCAGGTTAATGTTTTATTAATATTCTCTTATGAACCAATTCCCCACTTCAGTTTAATTGGCTTTTCATTCCAGAGGTTAGATTTCAGTGTGTTTATTATTGAGTGAAAACGAAATTGGAGAAATCTACCCAAAGCACTTAAAATGGGTTAAATGAGTTGTTTTTACACGGTTTCGGTGAAGCCTGAGTCAATTTACTAAATGGTCTTTAGAAATTTGCAGACTTCATTTTACATCCGAAAGTCTTGAGCAAGTGATGATTGAATCGGGTTTATTTCTAAGAAACTGATGGTGTTACTGCTAGATGTGTCCCCCTACTCTGGATAAAACATACAAATTAAATCAATTAACAATGAGTGAATTCATCTCATCCCCCTCCCCCCAAAGTTATAAATGAATCTTTAGTGCCCTATTGGTTTTCATAGGGTTTTTCACATCCTGAAAAGGTCACAACAATATTTCACGTTTTTACAAGGCTTCAGTGAATCCTGGGTCAATTAAATTATTTTCAAAGGAATTTGCAGACCTTGCGTTTACATTGGGATTTTGAAATCCTGGAAATGTTCTGAACAAGGGAGAATTGAATCTGGTTGATTCATACAAGACTGATGGTGTAACTGCTAGATGTGTCCTCCCTGCTCTGGGTAAAATTTTTGCTACAATGGGTGAAAAACTGAGTGAAATTGGCAATTGGTGTATAACAACAGTACAGTGTGTTTAAAGGGTATAAATGAATCCTGAGTTTTCAATGGTTTAATAGAAATTTGGAGGTCTCATTTTCATAGGGTTAAAGAAGGGCACAAAAAAGCTACTATTTGTTTTAAACAAGGTGGTATCGATGAATCGTAAGTCTGAACTGGTTTGAAAATGCATCCAAAATCACTTATTTAGGCGTCTAATAGAAATCTGGAGGTCTTCCACTTTCATAAGGTTTTTGAAATCTTGAAAAGGTTCCAGCATATTTGATAGAACTGAGATCCACCTGTTACAGTTTATTCTGTCCTCTGTTCTGGGGAAAATGCATTAAGGAGTAAAAAAAACAGCAAGTGTATGTCCAAAGGTACAACCATTTGTTTTTAAAGGTTTCAATGATTTTTTTAAATTTGCAGTCTTCTAGGTGTTCAAGGTTCTGAAGAACTCTGTACTTTAAAAAAAAAAACGCTGGTTTTGCTGACAGATCTGTTCTCTTTCGGCCCTGGGTAAGACATTTAAAGATGGGTGAAATTGGCAATTGGTGTTTAACAATGGTGCAGTGTGTTTTAAAGGGTATACATGAATCCTGAGTTTTTATTCAATGGTTTAATAGAACTTTGGAGGCCTTCCATTTTC